CCTGTTGGGGGCGGTTCTGGCAGTGGGACCAGGACCTATCCCAGGTGCATGAATTGGCTTTTTGAAGTCCATTCTCTATGTTGGGATACCTTGCTCAGCCTTGATACAGGGGGAAGGGGCTTGGTCCTGCCTCATCTTGGTATGCCAGACTTTGTTGACTCCCTAAGGAAGGCCTTACATCCTCTGTGGAACAGATGGGGAGGTGAGAAACGGGGGAGGTGGGACAAGACAAGAGGAGGGAGGGGGAACTGGGGTTGGTATGTAAAATGAAAAATGATTTTTTTAAAGGAAAAAAAAAGGAATTGCTATGTCCTACTGTTTTGTTGTGTTTCTGTCTTGGTTTGTCTCAAGGTACTTTTCAATTCCATTTTGATTCTCTTTGGACCTATTCATTGTTCAGGAGTAGGCTGTTTTCTTTCTACATATTTGTGAATCTTCTGGTTTTCGTTCTGTTGTTGGTTTCTAGGTTCATAACATTGTGGTTGTACAAAGAGACTTGATATGGTTTCATTCTTCTTAAATTTCTTACACTTGTTCTGTGACTCATCATACGAGCTATCCTGGAGGGTATTGTTTGCCTGAGAACAATGTGCATTGTGCTGTTGGTTGTAAGTCCTTTGTTTCTTCTTTAATTTTCTGTCTGGATGATTGATGTGTTATTGAAAATCGTTGACTGGAATTCTCTGCTATTTTCATATTGAAGTCTATCTCTCCCTTTAAATGTTTTGATATTTGATTTGTATATTTAGATGTTGGGATGTTATTTGCATGTATATTTATTCTCTCTCCCTCACTCTCTCTCATGTGTGGTACTGAACATGGAACCCAGGACCTCATATGTGCTAAATAAGGATTATGCTTCACTCAACCCTTCTTATATCTTTTTGATGAACTTGACCCCTTTATCTTTTTGACCCCTTTACAATGACTGTGCCTCATGACAAGTTTTACTTAAAGTCAATTTTGTCTGATATAAGAGCATAATGTTATTTTTCTACATTTTAATTTGTATTTGTTGAGGGCTGTAGAAATTTATCACACTGAGCATCTTTCCTGTGATGTTACAAGTTACAAACAGTTACAAGAAGCATATGAAGGACCAAGGTAATGGGGGGGGGACAGCCTATTATTAGCAACATGCAGGACTGAATTGCTCAGTTATTAAGAGTGCTGGCTGCTCTTACAGAGGACCCAGGTTCAATTCCCAGGACCCACATGGTAGCTTACAACGATGTGTAACTTCAGTTCCAGGGGATGAAACACCATTGTCTGGCCTTCATGAACACCAGACACATACTCTGGTGCATAGATACATGCAGGCAAAGTACCCACACATATAAAATAAAATAATAAAATAACTGTAAACACAATTTATTAACAACATACTGTGACCCACTTAGCTAGATGGCCACTCCCGTTAGTGAGAAGCTTTTTAGTTTTCCAGGTTTTCTGTCTATATAACTGTCCCTTAAGCATCCAGGGCCCATCAAGTAGTTGGCCAATTATCCTTGCAGGTTCAGGAAGTGTTATACATTATTACTATATGTATGACTTCTTCATTGTCTGCAGCTCTCCTGCAATACTCTTACACCTATTGAAGGTACTCAGAGGGCTTTCTATTGCTCCAACACCACACTAGAACAAAAGGAACTCTATGAAAACCCTTTGCCCCTAACAACTTGCCCCAACTCTATCTGGACAATAGTGTCTGACCCCCATTCTCTGAGTTCCAGTTCATTTTACTGGTGCCTCTTTGGGATCTTCACCAATTGTTTCTCTCTCTTCTCACTCCTATCCTGAAACATACCTGTCTGCTTTAAGAGACACAATAGCCTCTTGTTTATGCCTTTGGTTGTTTTGTTTGACTAAGCACATACAATTTTATACCCCAAAAGGTAGGATAAAGCTATTTTCCTTAGCTTTCTGCTCCTCTGTTTTATTTCCAAGGCAATGTGCACAATCTACTGAATAGATGACAGAAACAGAAGGGAAAGTGATAAGAATAATACTGAGGAGAAATAGTAATACTGTAAGCAAACTTGGCAAGTTAGGTATAATGGGCACAGATTTTTGCTAGTGTATGTATAGGCTACATGTACAAAAGTGCATACATACCACAGCACATGTGTGTTCCTGCTAATTAATCAATTTGAACATTTGGCATAATTTCTCGCAGAGTCTAGTCCATTCTTTCTGGATTAATTTGCTTTTAGCTGAAATTTATAATGGATTGTAAAGACAAAATGATTTAAACATCTGGTGAAATATATTACCTCAAAGGTAGCATCTAGGTGATAGGCATTCTAATAAATATTGGCATAGCCTTAAAGACTAGAGGGCTAGTTCTTTAGGATTGTTCTCAACTTATAAATCAAAGGTGAAATGTCTCAGTGCTAAGATCATCCATCACCAAGTTCAGTCCCCCTCTCCCCACCTTCACCCCACTGAGAGAAGTATGAGCCAGCTTGGTCCATTAATTTAAAAAATTATTAATTAAGTATGGATTTGAATTTGGAAGTAGACAAAAATTTCTTCCCATGAAGCCATTTAATTAAATTTCTGAAAAAAATTGAAGCTAATCTGTACAGGAAAACTCATTTATTATTTTGAGCAACTATCCACCAATAAGTGTGTGTCTGCCAAGTTCGTAGTCTGAGGCAAGCTGCTGCGGTTTGGTGATGGCATGCTGGATGGTGATCTGGATAATTACTTTAACCCTTGGATATTTTTGCCCACCAGGAGACATTTGATAATTGCTATCCATGTGTTTGTGTTTGGTTGTCTCGACCATAAAGCAGGGGTGCCTGGTGTCTCGTAGATAGTCAAGCCAGGTTGTCTCATATAGCTCAAAAAGCTCAGGGTAGGTCTCTATGACTAAGAAGTGTTTGACCTAAATGTCAGTACTGTCAAGTTGGAGAAATCCTGCTTTAAATGTGTCAGGGCCTGTTATAGGGACGACACACACTCTAAGTTTTGGATCTTCCCAAATCTTGGGGAAGGAACATGCTGAAGCCCCCAGCTATTTTCTATATAGGATTCTTCAGAGTTTTGTTTCTGCTGAAGCAGAGAGGGAAGCTTGTTCTAGCCAACTGTGAACACACATAACACACAGATTAACATCTGGGTGGAAAATTCCCTCAAAGTCATCCATAGGCTCTCCCTTGCCAAGATAGCAGGGGCAGAGAGTCCATCTGGATCCAGACTGGGACTGTTGCAATGCCCTCACCTGGAAGTGGGAAGGCTTTTCTCACCCATTGCCCCATTCTGACTGCTGCTGCCTCCTAATCCTTTCTCAACAGTCAGGCCTGGTTACTACTGCTTCCGTATTTTCCACACCCCTCCAGCCCTCTGTGCTGGCAGCACTGTTTTCATTTCCTCATTTGTGACAGCTGACTTGTTAGTCTCTCTTGGCTTCTGAAAGTTTAAGTCTTAGGAGGAGGGCCTTTCCTGTGGCAAAGTTATGCAGTTTCAGGGTTGTCACGTAGAGTTTTCAACCATTTGGAGTTAGAGCTTGACTGATAATGTTGGGTCCAGGGAGCTTTTTGTTGCAGTTGTTATGTTTCCTGATGCCTATCTAACTGAGTCACGCCATTTGTTGAGTGACTATTAGTAATTTAATGCCCACTGATTTGAGATGTCACCTATATCAGCATGCTACATGCCTTATTTTATTTCTGTAGTCATACAAAAAAAGCTTTGTTTTACAATGCCAGGAGAAAGTAAAGTTTCCCTCAGTAAACTTAGAGAGTTTCTTTTGTTAGAATAAGAACAAAACATACATCATGCAGAATTTACCTTTTCAACCAACTTCAATAGGATTGAGCACATTTATATTGTTGTATGACCCACCTCTAGAACAACTCCAATCTTTTTGCCATATGGTTTTGATTCACTCCTCCATTAATTTATGACACACCTGCCACTAGTAAGTTGCATCTTAATTTCAGAGATCTTAAAGTTGTGGGGGAGCATACCTCTCAGGATTACTGACATACACTTTTAAATTCTTAAATGTATTGGACATATTGCTGGGTGTTCCATTAATTTGTCTCTGTGTCAATGCCTTACTGCTTGAGTGACTGGGGATGGACTGAGTCTTGTAACACATAGCAGGGCTGGTTCTCTTCCTCAGAAGAATTCTCATTTCTATAATGCTTGCCTACCTGTTTGAAATAACAGAGAGATTTCTGTGGTTCTTCTTGGTCTTCCTCCCCTCTTTCTTCCTCGTTCTGCTATTTTAAAATTAGTAGGTGGCATTTTAATGATTAGTAAAATAGTGTAGGAATACTGGGAGCTCCTGTATTTTAAAAACTTAAGGGGCTGGAGAGCTGGATGAGTGGTTGAGAGTATACTGTTTTTGTAGAAGCCTGAGTTCAGTTCCCATCACCCATGTCAGGTGGCACACAACTGCCTGTAACTCCAGCTGCAAGGGATTCAACACTTCTGTGTCCACTGAGACTCATACATAGATGGCACATGCACACACAGACACACAGACACACAGACACACACACACACACACACACACACACATGCATATACACACATGTACGTATAATTAAAAATAATAAAAGAAAATGTTTTCATAAATTCACACAAAGAAGACTTTATTGGGCCTGACGGTGGCTCCAAGGCCTGAGCCAGCATATATCTCTGAAAGTCTGGGTCTCTTCTTCCCCTTCTGGAATTCTCTGCAGCCTTGCCATGGTGATACTGTCTACCCTTGGCCTGCATTTTCTTTATCAAGGGGAGATGTTCTTATAGAGTTCCTAGATCACATCTTCCTTTCATATCATATCCATGGAAATTTAGCCTTCTTCAGCGAGGCCGCCAGTCACTCAAGAAGAATGGAAAAATCTCAAGTGTTTGTGACTACATCAGCATTTTCTCTGGTTCACTAATGCATCTTCCCTGCAGTCAAAGTTTGTTGCCCTGCCAGTTCCTATTAAAGTTTCAGCATTTTAAATATTGTATTACTAAAAGCTTATTTTTATTTGCATTTATAGATCCTAAGCTCATTTCTGCCTTGTTTCACTGAAGAATCCACTAAAAGGGCTAGCTAACCCTTGTAGAAAATGGAGTTCAGCGATCTTACATCGAGAACTGTGCGTTTTTACGATAATTGGATCAAAGATGCTGGTGAGTTATGAGATTTCCTAATTGAAGTTCATCTCTCCTTTTTATGTCAGATCCCCACATTAAAAAGATTTATTTGGAATAAAATAAGAGACTTGACAACTTCATACCCACTTATTACTAGTTAACCAAGAAGTGATGTCCAGGGTTTCATCACAGCCAAGGCTACATACCTGTTCATGATGACGGTCGTAATATTGAAAACACCCAGAATATCTGCAGAAGAGATCTGGGTGATATACGATGGCACATCTTAACCCTGTAGCCCTTAGAAACGGTTTTGGAGGGTCAGTACTCCAATGTTCTAGAGGGGAATCAGACACTGCCAACAGAAGTTCAGTCCATGTTTGTTTTCTAGTGAAAGAACTGCCCTTGCCAGAGAGGTGGTGCAGAAAGAGCAGGGAGTAATAAAAATAAAAAAGGCCTTTGGAACATTCATTGTCACTGGAGTATAAAATATGCAAACAGAAGCCATGCATGAAGCATCCAGTGTGTTTCTTTTGTGGAAAGTTGGGCCTCTCATCGGTGGTGAATGGTGGTTTGGATGGTAGTGGATCTGCTGTTGGGTATTAGACTGAGGTCAGGGTCATGTGTTTGTACCTGCTGAGTGTGTGCTCTACAACTTAGCTACACCCAGTCTCATGAGGAACTGTTCTTTATTCATCTGTCAGCAGGTTTTCAAACCCCAGCCAATGTAGTATTGTTATTAAAGTCCTAAAAATAAAACAAAGGCACAAAAGTTTCTAAGATAAAAGGAATCAGGATGCCTTAGAACTGAGATAGACCTGAGATACCATCCAAACTAATGTCTCATTTTAGAGCTGAAGAAATTCAAACCCAGAGATGTAACCTTCTCAAAGTCACTGAGTTGATACAGAAAGAGAAAAAAAATAACCCTAGAACTGGTATTTTCTAATTATGATTAGTGTTCTGGCATTTCATTGTTTTATAGTTATTAAGTTATACATAATCACTGCTAAAATCACTTTGGAGTGACTCACTCATTGACTATAAACTACAAGTTCATCATATACTTACCACAGGTGAAACTGCATCCTAGTTTACAGTGATTTCAGCAATGACACTGTTTCATGGGCAGCATCATTCTCCCCAAGCTGCTAAAGGGCAATGTTACTTCTCTAAAGTTTTCTAATAATGTTGTCCCTTAAGAATTCCAAGGACAAATAAGCTCTACTCTGTTAGGGCTAATAGAATAGCTATTTCTCTATTTTCTTATCTTTTTCCTGAAATTTCAACTAACTTGGTTCAGAAAATGTACCAGTTTCTTTAGAGATAACCTTTCTCTGATGACTTACAGTGATTGCTACAAATCCAATATTTAATGTAAATATTAATTTTCCATTTGTGTTTCAAAGGAGATATGTACATTTATTGCTTACTCGAGTCTCACTATTTGAACTTGGAACCCAAGTAGACCTAGGTATAATTTAAAAAGTTATTGCATGTATGTATGTGTCACAGTGTACTTGTGGAAGTCAAAGGACAACTTTGTGAAGTTGGTTCTCTTCATACACTTTTATGTGGCTTCTAGGGATGTAACTTGGGTCATTAGACTTGCACAGCCAGCACCTCACCTACTGAGCAATCTCTCCAGCTCTGGGGACAGTTTTCTAGAATAGAGTTATTTGCAAGAACAGATCCTATGCAATCCAAATCTGATTCTTCACTATCCTCAATGCAAGGACCTAAGAAATTCAGCTAATCCTTTTCTTAACTCAAGAGGCAAGTGGACTCAGATGGTGGAGACTAATCATGTGTCCCTAGAAGTACAAAGTGTTTTACTATAAACTATGTCAGAATGTTGCTTCCACATCTATCTGTGGACCAACTCTTCACTTCATGTTAGAAGTACTTCCATCAAAAAAGGAAGTACTACTGGGTCAGAAAAAGGATCATAGGTGGTTAAAAATAAGGACTGGGAAGAATCCATGCAAATGGAGCAGGCAAGACGAGAGATTTGCACGGAGAAGGCAAATCTCACACTTCAGACTCTAATACTCAATTTGAAGTCTTAGGAGAGGAAAGGCCATAGATAGGGAGAGTTAAGAGCTGGGACTCAGGTCCCCTGTGTCCTAGACTAACTGGGTGACCTTGAACAAACTCTGTTATTTTCTTTTTGTGTGTAAAACAAGTGAGAGAATAGCACCTGTCAGCCCCTGCATAAGATGTGTGAAAGTGCTGTTACTGGGCAAGTGTCCTGACACAAATAGACTGAGATGTTACAAATTATGTTAGATACTTTTAAGGTAACAAATCACTTGAGATTTTTTTTCTTGTCAAGGTCTAGCAGAGTTAAAAGGATTTGTATTAAGATTTACAACTTTATAAAAAGGCTGTCCAGTACAGGAGGAGCGTTCTTCTTGTATTTAGTGTGGTATTGATCTGGAGTGGCATTAGTTTTGCTTTTCGTACCCTGGGAAGGGCTGAATACACAATCAAGAGCCAAGAATTTCAAGTGTAGTCTTGGCTTTGGCCCTAATCCTGTGTAGCCTTGGGAAAACTTACTGTTACTAGTTTTCTGCTTGCTGGAGAAGTAGTGGTCATGCATAGTTATTTCATGTGGAAAATTCCACAACCACAAAATTTTTAGGTAGTTTACTATGTGAGGTAGAAGAGAGTTTATTACAATTCCTTGATATGGAATGTTAGATTTTAAAATCATGCTGTAGCAGCATGTTGTTCTCAGGAGAAGTGAAAAAGCAGCCCTCTGTATGTTTGGATGGTCCCACTCGCTTTCAGATAGTGAGAGCTTGCTTTGCAAGAAGTTGGAGGATGAATAGATCTGCGGCCTCTCTAAACTCTTGGTATATCAGAAAGTACCTGAGAACAAGTCTCCCTTCCCTTCCAGTTTCTTTATTCTGCTGGTACTTAGAATTTTAAAATGTGTGCTCTTTGATGTAGTACGAGATGCTAAAGAACATTGTCTTATAAATAGTAGATGGAAAGACTCCTTAACATTCTGTGTATCCACCATTGTACTTTACCTGTACCCCCTTTCTCTCTGGGGAACTGTTAGGAAAGAATTACGAAGCTCGTGTCAATTCAGCATTGTGGTGGGCTCTGGAGTATTGCCAACCACACAGCCTGCTTTTCCAGACTTTGCTTTCATCTTGGCTCTTCTCCGGACACTTACATCAGCTCTGATGCCAAGTACAGGATACACAGGACTGTTGCTCCCTGCTTAGCCTCTGTCCCTGAGGAAAACCGGGAAGACTCACCCCTGACTGAATCCTTATACTGAGTCAGAATTAACCTTAAATGTCATTGTGCTGTCTATCCAGTCTCTGTGTCAAGCTGTCATCCCCAACGCACCCACAGGCACATCAAAGGAAAAGCCTGCTCTTCCCATGAAATGGCCTGAGAAGTGGAAGGTAGACTACAGCTCAGAGAGGCAGGGGACAAGGGCAATAGCCAGAGCCCTAAACATCATGCTAAGGCTGTGAGTTTTGTATGATCCGTGGGGGAGAGCTCATTGAAGTAAGAGAATGATCTAAGCAGAACTCTACTTTGAGAAAGTGAATTTGGCAACTGTATGGAAGACAAACATCAGTTTGGATTGAGAGGCAAGAAGGATTGCCTACTGAGGGACCTTGCAGCCTTACATATGGCTCAAGGAAACTTGATCACGCACCAGAATCCCTATTTCTCAATTTGGATAGTTCATTATTGTCATCTCAATAGCTTTGGAAAAGATTGCCTGTTTACTAATTATAGTTGTATCTGCTTATGTGGTACAAAGTGATATTGTAACAGATGTATACATTGCGGAATTATTAAATGAGCTAGTTAACATACCCATCTGATGAGAACATTGGAGACATCCTGTGTTAGGAATCTCAACTGCATAGTGTACTACTATTAGTATATAATGCATTTTATATATTATTATTACATTATTATACATAGTAATATAATATAATACTTAGTATTGTAATATCTTAATATATTATATTACAACATAATATTATATGATATAATATGCTATATATAATATTATAGTACTATGTGCCCCTATAATAGATCTCAAAAAAGTTATTCCGCTGGCAGAATTCAGGCAGAACTCACAGAATCTCTGTGAGTTCAAAGCCAGCCTGGTCTACAAAGCAAGTTCCAGAACAGGCTCCAAAGCTACACAGAGAAACACTGTCTCGAAAACCAAAAATAAATAAGTAAGTAAGTAAATAAATAAATAAATAAATGTTATTCTGCCTAAGTTAAATTTTGTACCCATTGCCCAACATATCTCTCTCTGAAACATTACCTCTCTCTCTCTCTCTCTCTCTCTCTCTCTCTCTCTCTCTCTGTTGTTTACCCAAACTCTTAATTCTCTTTATTTCATGTATGAGGCTGTTTATTGCTTTCTGAATGTGGCTTATTCCAATTAGCATAATAACATGTCGTTCTGCTTATCAAAAGGTAGCAGAGAACATGGTTTCCTTCTTCTGAGAGACCAAATGGTATCCTACTTACACTGCTCTTTTTATTCCTCTGATGAGGAACCACTGGGTTAGATGCACACCTGAGCTACTGTGAATAACACTACAGTGGGTCTGACGGCTGTATCATCAATAAACAGTTTCCAAAAATGAGATTGCTGGACTTACACTGATTCTACTTCTAGGTTTTAATGGGATGGGTCTCCACGTGGTTTTCCTAGTGGCTGTACTCATTTATAGTCTCATCATGAGTGCACAGGGTTCCTCTTCCTCCATGTTTTCAGCTGCACTCATTATCTTTTGTTTGTTTGATGATGCAGCCCTACAAGTGATAGGTGATGTCATATTCTGGTATTGATTTGTATTTTCCTGATCACTAGTGATATTGCACATTTATTCTTCTCTTTGTTGACCACAGTGTCTTTTCTTTTGAGAAATTAAGTCCTTTGTCAATTTTTTTATGGCTGAATTTTAAAAGCTTACATGCTTGGTACCTAACCCTTAGGATTCTGATTCAGTTGGATTAAGGTGTGTTTTTTGTTTGTTTGGTTTTTGTTTTCAGTTATTGAACTTCTGAATGCTGCAGAGGTGATTCAGCTATGGTTACCGGTTTGAGATCTACTGCATTGACAATAGCAAGCTTATTGAGTACTTAAGTCTTGCAAACTCCTCACCCAGTCGTCTGTGAAATACTTGTTTTATGCCCAACTCCCAGATGAGAAAACCACACACAGTGAGGTTAAATCAATTACCTAAGGCTGCATAAAGGGCCAGAGGAAAGGATATGGTTATAAGACTGACTGTCTGTCTGCCTCTAGAATTTAGCCCTAATACAATTTTTAAAGCCTAGTATAAAAAGGGTGAATAAGGAGATAACTCAGTGAGTTAATTGTGTGTCATGGGACCATAAAGACCTAAATTCAATCCTGATGCCCAAGTAAAAAGCTTGGAATGGTGTCCCATGCTTAGAATCCCAGCTCTGGGAAACAGGGACAAGGGATCCCTGGTACTTACTGGCCAGCCAGCATAGCCAAATCACAGAAAAAAAACCAAGTAGCTCATTTCTCATGAATGACCCCAAGGGTGACCTCTGGACTCCTCACACAAACACATGTTCCTTTGAACAAACATACATTAAAACATTTTTTGTTTGTTATTTTATTATCTTTTTTGAAAATAACATAGAATGAAATAAACAAGCTTTTCCCACAATAACTTTTTATTTGTAGAACTGAAAAGTCTACAGGATTTCAAGAAAAGGTGTGTGCTGAAAAAGTTAAATTGCAGGAAGAAAGGATTTATTTGGAAAGGATTTTCTTGGTCTTCCCTAGCTGGCTTGGCATGCTTTTCTTGGCTTATTTTCTTTCTGTTGCTAACAGAGGGACAGGAGGATGATGTCATTTGATTTTTCTTCCCCTGCCAAGTCAGTGAAAGAAGAAAACAAAAGATACATCTGATCAAGAAGTGCCTTTACTGACATTTAAAACATTTTTTTTGTTTTGTTTTGTTTTAAAATCGTATTTGGAGGTGACTAACAACAGAAACATTTTTAGTTGCCTTTGATGAAGACCAGAAGTAGCCAAGCTGTTAGAGGTGACTGAAGCCCTCAAGGGTGCTTCCTTTAGTGCTGATTTCATTAGTCTTTATTTTATTATGAATAAAAGCTAGACATATTAATAAAAGAATAAAAGCTAGACATTGACTCTATGACATTCATATATTAAGGTTTACCTTGACCAGCCAGGAAAGGAATTCATTTAAAGCTGATTATTTCTAATTCCGTTCCTGGATTCCCAGTTCTATAAACAAACTTTATTTACTGAAATTCCCCTTTGTGGTGTTCAGGTCCACACTGTGATTGCCAGTAATGACCAGAAATTCTGCCATTCTTACAAGGCTGGAGAAGAACTTACTGGAGTTGTTGATGGTTATGAGTTGCTTTTTGGGTGCTGGGAATTGAACCTGGGTCCTCTGAAAACACAACCAGATAAGAAGATGGTCAAATTCTAAACATCTGGCATTGGTTTTGAGTTGATGGTCAGTTTGCTTTGCTTATCTGAGACATTGTCATCTGCTGGCATTTTTGAGGGAGGCCCACTTGAAGATAGGACAAGTCATCTTCACTAGTGACAGCCCTGGACAATCAGCTGTTGCATGCAACATCTCCAGCATTAAAAGTGGATGAGTGGACAGTTATGGAGTTCTAGTGAAGAAGTTTGGGATGAGAAGTCAGGTCTATGGGGATGCTAAGGTTTGCTGGTAACTGGCTTTCTTGTTAGTGGTTTAGATGAACAGGAATCTGTGCTCCAGGTCCTCTTTCACAGTGATGAAGGAGATGCTCAATCTGAGCTGAGTCAGATGCTCCTGGAAGCTGCCCATAGTTATTTTCCTCCATACCACACTGGCTTCATGAGGTCACTTGGTCAAATTACACCCCAAGTGCTTGAAATTATAGAATGAATCACAGTTTGCTTTTAATTGCAATTTTTAAATGCCACAATCCTGATTGCCTGAAGCCAGCAATAGACCATTACCTATTTTATTTTAAAATATCAGACTTACTGGCTCACACGTTGGACACCTAGGGCATATACTCTAGACAGGTATTGCTTGTGGTTCTATGATATACTATATGAGGAAGTATGTCAGTTTTCTTAGGACACTAAGAGAATGTACAAGCAGCAAATACAAACAGGTTTGTAAATGTAAAAGACTACCTGAATGGAAAAACATTTTGAAATGGTGTCTCATTTATTCCAGGCTGGCCTTGAACTCCCAATCTCTTGCCTCCACCTCCCAAGGGCTATCATTACAGGAGTGCACCACCATGCCCATGTAGGATGGAAATTCTCTGAATATTATAGTAGTCATTGAAGGTGGGACAGCTGCTCCAGATCTGCCTCCACCCACTGCTTAGATCTTGGAGAAATTATGGATCTGAGACTAGGGTGTCAGTACTTTGGGGCTCTGCTGAGAGCTCTCCTAGGTAGTTGTCTTGCTTTGTGTCATTATGTGGCAGAAAGACAGCAGAAGAGCTTCCTAGGGTCCCTTTTATGACACTAACTCTACTGGTAAAAAGCTTTTGCTTCCAAACATTAGGGGCTAAGATTTCGACACATGGATTTTATTTATTTTCTTATTTTTTGAGATTGCCCTCAAACTTGATGTGTAGCTGTGGATGACTTTGAACTTCTGATTCTCCTGCCTCCATTTCCCAAGAGCTGGGATTATATGTGTGCACTACTGCCCCAGGCCTAACACATGAATCTGCAGAGGATGCAATGTTCAATCCACTGCACAGTTCCTCCAGAGGGGCTTTCCAGAGACACCCCTTCAGGCTCTGGTGACAAATACCTCTTGCCTTTTGAGATTTAAAGGTGATGACAGTCTCACTGTTCCTAGGGATTCCTCCTGTCACTCTTCCTAAGGATGCTTGTGATTGTTTAGTGGTGTGTGGTTGGCGCTGGATACGGGTTGCTGCCTGTTATCCGTGGGTTAAGTGACTGTGCACTCACAGATGTTATCTTTCTCCTAGATCCAAGAGTGGAAGACTGGCTCCTCATGTCCTCGCCTCTGCCACAAACCATTATCCTGGGTCTCTATGTCTATTTTGTCACATCTCTGGGACCAAAGCTCATGGAGAATCGGAAGCCCTTTGAACTCAGGAAAGCGATGATAACGTACAATTTTTTCATAGTACTGTTTTCTGTGTATATGTGTTATGAGGCAAGTGTCTTCAGTATTCCTAATGGGAAAAGTTTGCCTGAGTCTTTTGTGTATATGTCAGTATGTTTTTGTTATGACTATGGGGCACTCTCCCCCCCCCTTTTTTTTATAATTGATGAATTTAGAAACTAAGCAGGTGTTTACAGCATCAGAAACACCAAAATTGCCATGTCTATATAAAACAATAAATCCAAGGATCTCAGGACAGTTTCCATCATGGACAGTGAGAAAAAAAAAAAAAAAAACATTTAGCTCAGAGATTTGCACATGATAAATGTTAGTTTTGAGGAAACTCATACTCAGAGAAAATAATTAATGAACTCAGAGTGATAGCTGGCAAGAACAGGGCTAGTCCTGGAATACAGGTCCTGCTGACTCCAGAACTGGTCTTGTCTTTGTAACAATCTGTCCCATTACGGTGGGAACTTGTGGTTACTCTGTGCTGTGGTAAGCTATACAGTGGCCGGCTGTTTAGGATTTAGAGGCTTTAAGGCAAAAGAGAACATGGACTCACATGGAGTCATAGGTCATAAATCCCTATCCCTTGTTGTAAGAGAAATAGCAATCTTCCAGAACTCAGGACAGGTTGTGGATTTACTCCCTGCCCCTCCGCTATTCACATGTCTCAGCTGCCCTCACATACTGCTTCCCTGGGGCTCTTTGGGGGTATTTACAGGCCTCTCTATCTCTCTACTTGTTTATTTTCTTTCTAGCATACCTTGTGCTTGTTCATACTTGGGGGTTTATGAGGAGCTTTGCTGACCTTGCTGGCCTCCATAACACCACCTCATTGCTGCTACAAATGAGCCAATCTGATCACCTAAGTCTCTGCTCACCTTTTCTCCACAGGCCATTCTCAAGTCTAGCTTCATTCTGTTGCTTGTCACTTCTCTGTTTCTACCTCTTACCCACAGGTCACTACTCCTCTCCTGTCCTTTCTAGACTACGAACAGGCTGCTCACATGTTCTCAGACAGAGAATGTACATTTGAGAGAAGTTAAGAACATGCTTGGAAGCTAGGAGCCCAGGCTGCCTCATTTTCACTGTGTTGCTTTTTCTCTAGGCCTCAGGTCTCTTACATTGTGATGACAGGATTGAACTAGTTTTTCTCTTGGGTCCCAGAATGTTCTAGTATTCTCAGGTTGTGTTTGACAGTGCCACTGTTTGTGATGACCCCCACATTATATTTCTCAGGCTTGAAAAGAATCCAGTAGTAACCAGTCACTTTTGGTTCCTGCTTTGTCAATTACAACATGGAAGAAGGTTTAAAAATATCAGAATTAGAGAGTTTTTATCTTCACTAATACTTGAGTTATAGTTTCAGGACTTACTGCCTGCTGAACATAAACCATTAACTTTTTCTTTACCAGCCTAGAATAGAGGTGTAACTGTCAAAACTGTCACAGGCTATTGGTATGTCCTTAAACTCAGTATCAGGAAAATGTTGCATCCACTCTGTTTGGACACAGACTTTTAACTTTAACTAGGGTGTGTGCTCTCTGTTGACCATAGCATAACACAGGCCCAAGGTATGATGTGGAGCAAGATTTTGTCAGGGTTTGAGAGTAAATGCCTCTGTCAGGCATGTTTAGCCAAAAATGATCAAGGAGAAAGAGAACCATGCCATACTGAAGAAATTTGGCTGTCTTCTTGTCATTCAGCATGCTAGATACCTGGGGCGAGTAAGACACTAGTGAGGAAGGGAGCAGGTGGGAGCCACAGAGGGCCAATACACACAGCCTCTCCCTTGTAGACAAGGGAGAGCTAGTCATTTAGTTTAAGTAAATAGGTTCTGGGATGAGAACAGTGGTTCTCAACCTTCCTAATGCTGCAACCTTTAATATGGTTCACCATGTTGAGGTGACTCCAACCATAAAATTATTTCCTTGCTACTTCATAACTATAATTTTGTTACTGTTATAAGTCATATGTACATAGCTGGTATGAAACTCCTATGAAAAGGTCATTTGGCCCCCTAAAAGGGTCAGGACCCACAGGTTGAGAACCAGTGGGATAGAGTATGACATTTCAGTTTAAATGAGTCTAAGCATGGCAAAAATAGCATCGTTCACTGACTTGAGGGTTTTGAGAAACAGAATTCACTGTTTCTGCCACATCCTTCTGTTAATTTGAAAAGATCTGTTGACTTGATTTTTAAGGCATTTTTAAGACCATGAATTGCATATCCTATGCTTTTCTGAGTCTAAATGTTCAAGATCTCATTTTCAGAGCTTATATTATCTTATATTGCAGGGTAGGTACGAGTACAGAGAAAGGGGTGGATTTGCTGAATTTGCTCTTTCCACTTTCCCATTCTTTTTGCATATTAAAATGTCATCTTGGCTGATTTCTGATGGTGGATACCTGTTATCATAGCCCTTAGGAGGCTGAGTCAAGAGTCTGAGTTGTAAGTTTGAAGCCAGCCTGGGCTACATAGCAAAATCCAGTCTTAAAAACTAAACATACCCAGGCTTTGGGAAAGCCTTTAAGTGTGTGTTTTTATATTGAGAACTTATCATTTTAGCTAAAATAGTGATAAGACTATAAACATAAAATATGTTTCAGAAGCCAAAAGTGTCATCAACCTTATAGTGAGAGAGAAGTTGTTCCATGCCAGATGCTGCCAGTTACAGAGTAAAAACAACAAAAAACCAACCAACCAACCAACCAACAAACAAAAACACTTGGAAAAAAAAGAAAATTTTTTTTGCTCTAACCCAGGTCAGCCCAACAATTATATGTATGCATTAATTAAAATCAAGTACTTGGCTTTCATTTGTAGCTACTGTTTTAAAAACTCTTCCTACCAACAAACTAAAAGAATGTCAATATGATCTTTGAATTACAATTCAGACTTATCAACAATAGCCTTTTATTTTTAACACCAGTAGAAGGTCATTTTGTGGGTGTGTTGGAATGACCATCTGCCAGATTATACTCCAGTTAGTAACAAGCACATTGTCTCCCCTTATTTGTCTTGTGAATTCAAAGTGCAACTGGTATCAAACCTGTGTACAGTCAATTTTTATGAGAAAGAGGAGGGAGTACCAGAGCTAGGCGCTGCCACTTTGTAGTGTACTTGCTAGCCATGGGTAGGAAAAGCACAGTGGCCATGGTTACCCTTTTGGCACATGGCCAGGTTTCTGTTTGTTTAATACTTACTGATTAATTGGGAAGATTTGAAACGTCCAGAAAAAACAGACTCAGAGCTAGGCACTCCCCCTTTAAAAGTACAAAAGCACATACATGTAGTGGACATAGAAAATATTTGCTAATTAAGCAAAATACTCCCTGGGTTTTGTCCTTCACTGTTCTAAAGGAATCCTCCCGAGAAATGGACAAATTAGTCAGATTACAGTTCACATAATCAGTCTGTCCATTTGTGACTTTGAGAGTGCCTGATGCCAAGCTTCTCCCTGAAGGGTGTTTAGTTTGTCCTGGTTCTTGCCGCCTCTTCCCCTTTACTGCCTGCTTACTCAGCTGGTCATGCAACAAGGTGTAGTCAAAACCGCCTTTGTGGTGGCTGTTAGCAAGTTTCTTCCTCTTTAATATGCATGTTTCTCTTCCAGTTTGTGATGTCTGGCTGGGGTACAGGTTATTCGTTTCGATGTGACATTGTTGACTATTCTCAGTCACCAAGAGCGATGAGGGTAAGTTCTTCTTTGGAAAAAAATCTCTAGTTCAAAATCATTGTGAAAATCTCTTGGACACTGCAATATTGGTTATAAATTCAGAAGGACTGAATGAGTCTATTATCAGATTATATAAACTGGGAAAAAGCTAAAATTATAGGAAAGAATTAAAGGAAGTCTGGTGTATAAATTCTACAAAATGACAATGCTGTCTAAATTTCTTGGTTTTCAAAACTTACCTGATTTCTGAATGTTGAGAAATAGAATTTTCATAAGATCTAGTAATTCCACTTCTGGCAATATTCCTAAAGTGGTTGAAGTCGGGGACTCAAATAGATATCTGTATACACATGATCACACCACCATTATTCACAATGGCCAAAATAGAGCAACAATCTAAGTGCCCATGAATGGTTAATAGTTAAACAAAATGTCTCACACACTCCTAAACACACACACACACACACACACACATACACACACACACAAACATACACAAGACACACAGACACATACACACAAGTATACACACAGACACACACACAAAGATACACAAGACACACAGACACATATACACACACAGACACACATACAAACATCACACATACACACAGAGAGTCACACATAGATACACACAGACACACATACAGACATACATATAGATACAACACATACACACACACACAGATGTAACATATACACAGACACACACATACACAGGCACATAGACACACACATAGATACACACAGACACACATGTAGACTAACACATACATACACAGATATACACAAACACACATAGACACACACAGAGACACACATTCACACACACAGGAAGAGAATAGAATATTACTCAGCCTGTAAAAGCTACAACTTATACGAATCTTGAGGACATTATGTTAATATATTCCAGTCATAAAAGGACAAATATCTATGACCCATCTTGTATGAGGTACCTGAAATAGTCAAATGCACAGGACAGAGGGTAGAGTGATGCCTGGGCTGGAAAGAAGAGGGAAATGGGAAAATATTTTTGAATGAGTATGGTTTTGCCTTTTCAACATTAAGGAGTTCTCTGGATGGACATATAATAGCTGTGGAAGGATAGGAATGAAGTCAAAGCCACCAGACTATACCTTAAAAATCACCTAGGATGGTAAATTTTGTTAAGTGCTTCTAAAGCTATTTTTTAAAGTAAATGTTTCTTCCATATAAAATACCGAATAAATAAATCTTATCTGTGTATATTCCCACAGATGGTGCACACCTGCTGGCTTTATTACTTCTCCAAATTTATTGAGCTGTTAGACACTGTGAGTATGTGGCCCACACATTTAGCAACTGTTTGATGTCTCGCCGAAGCAATAAACTGCTGGCATAGCTGTCACATACATACCTTTGCTTATCGCCCCTCCCTTGCTTTGCCTATTGTTATCCCTTTTCCTTTAATTATCTGTGTTTAGAAAGCGTGCTTTCCAGCATTTCACAACCTCTAGCTGCATTTTTTTAAACATGTGTCAGTTTTTACCTGGCAATATTATCATATATATATATATATATATATATATATATTATATATGTGTGTGTATATAATGTAATTGCCTGATTATGATAAACAGGTTAACTGCCACTTACTCTATAGGACTGTGCACCTTGGTGTAGGTGATGACAGTTCTTTATGAAGCACTTCACAAAGCAAAGAGCAGAGACCACGTTACCTTATACCAAGACACAGTGTCAGCCATACTCCGTAAGACAAGCAAGCATCACAATTCATAAATGTGATATTATCCATGGGGTGCCAATAATTTGAGGACCACAAACACTATCTCCAGTTGCTGTTCTGAAACCTGAGCTTACTGGGCCTGAGTTCTGCCTGCTTTGGGTCCTAGTGAGGGTCAACTCTGGACCTTGAGTGACTGGGCCCAGGGGTTAGCATGCTCTAAAAGTGGAAAGTAAGAAATATTATTTCCTGCTAGCATAGGAAAGCTGTGCTGGTTTTACTGACAAGTGTGTCTGGGACACACACCACCACACTGTCTGAAGTGTTAACACTTGTCACTCTTGGCTGACTAATCATAAAACGTTAGGCTGAGAAGGGACTTTTGAGGATTTAAAATCTAGGGTTTCTCAAGTTTTAGCAGGCATTAAAGTCACCTACAGGAATCCCAGTGCTCAGGAGGCTGAGGCGGGACCACAAGTTTGAGCCCAACCTGGGCTACATAGCAACAAGCTGTCTTTAAAAAGAAAAGGAGCTGGGCAATGGTGGTGCAGATCTGTAATCCCAGCACTTGAGAGGCAGAGGCAGGCAGGTCTCTGTGAGTTCAATGCCAGCCTGGTCTACAGAGTGAGTTCCAGGACAGAACAAAGCTACACAGAGAAACTCTGTCTCAAAAAACCAAAACCAAACCAAACCAAAACAACCCCCCCCAAAACAACCCCCCAAAAACAAAGTAAAAAGAAAAGGAAAGAGAAAAAACAAAAAGCATGAAGGATTTGTTAAAGCACAAATGATGCTTAAACTCCCTATTGCCTCTGATTTAGTGGGTCCTGGGTGGAGCTTGGGATTTCGCTTTTCTGAGTTTCTCAGCTGTTCTTTGAGAAGCAGCTTGCTTTAGAGATATGGCACTCAGCATCCAGGTGCTTTACAATGACATGCATTAGGAACAAATAGCACACACAGGCCCCACCTCTTGAGATCTGATACCTGATGGTCTGGAGTAGAGAATACACATAAGTATTTTAAAACTGTTTTTTCATATTGTGACTTGCAGCCAGGTTTGGGAACTATTGGTCTAGTTCAGAACCCTCATTCGGGGATCGGGATGGGTGCAGTGGAAGCAAGAAGTTGAGTGGCTTACCCAGAAACATGCAGCTGTGAGAGTAGGACCCCTGTTGGAAGTTTATGACCCATATGTTGCACCAGGCTGTGTTCTTCCATGTGCATAAGCAAATGCGCTTGGCTTTATTGACTCTACTTTGCATATCCTCACTAGCAACTTCCATTAAGAATTTGTTTCCTCCTTGAGTCCTCCCCAGTTTTCCTGACAGTAATGCTTTGTGTTTTTCCCTGAATGTGAATGTCTAACTTTCCTCTGGTGCTGTGAACTTTTCTGTTAGTGCATTCTTTGATCCCCCCACCCCAACTCGTCCTTCCTTCCTTCCTTCCTTCCTTCCTTCCTTCCTTCCTTCCTTCCTTCCTTCTTTCCTTCCTTCCTTCCTTCCCTTCTTTCTTTTGTTTTTTCGAGACAGGGTTTCTCTGTATGGTTTTGGAGCCTGTCCTGGAACTCGCTCTGTAGACCAGGCTGGCCTTGAACTCACAGAGATCCACCTGCCTCTGCCTCCCAAGTGCAGGGATTAAAGCCTTGCTCCACAAAGGCCCGGCCAACTCTGCTCTTTCTTGTAGCAGCAAGCCACCACTGGGCACGCGCAATTGCAATGGTACCTTTGTTGCCGTTCTCATTTTTCTTATGCAGCTTTGCTTTCTTGTCCACAATATTTTTCAGATTAACTCTTAAGGATTCTCACCGTTTGTTTTTCTTTGGTAATACATTTTTTTTTTAAGTCCGCTTTCAATTTGCCTAACCCCTATCCAAACTGGTAGGATGTGTTAGAGAGTAAGTAATGTAGAGTAAAATAATTTCAGTCCTAGGAATTATGGCTGAACTTCTTTCTGACTGCCAGATAGTTCGAAACTTAAATGAGATTTTTTAAAGTTTAGTATTTTATCAATAGCATTTCTTTCAATAAATTCTGATGAGAGTTTTCACGGTGTATTTGGTTTTCAAATCTGCATAAAACTTCTTCTCACCTTATTGGTTCTCTCATGATTACCTATCGTCCCGAGTTCGTGCATGCTGGGTAGTCTTTGAACTGCGCCCTTGAGAACCAGCTGCCGCTGTCAGCACACCATAGGAAGCCAATTGTGAAACTGTTTGCTCTTTACCAATACTTTTGTGACACTCAATAAATTATTGCGTGGTTTTTGTGAACTTGATTTTCTTTAAATTATTTCAGATCTTTTTTGTTCTGCGTAAGAAAAATAACCAAGTGACTTTTCTTCATGTCTTCCATCATACAATCATGCCATGGACCTGGTGGTTTGGAGTCAAATTTGCTGCAGGTAGAAAAGGGAGAACTGGGGTCATGTGATATATAAGTGGTGACATTTCCGTGTGCTACAAACACAAATTCTGCCCTTCAATGTAATTTATAGGAATTTCTTTTAAAAATCAAAGAGCCATTTTGGTTAAACTTCTGACTTTGAAATTATCACCAAAGGCATAGGACTCTAAATTAGATTGCCCACTCCAAGTCTTCAGACATGAAGACTTTTGCGCAAGACCTTCTATGCATATTCTTCAGTTTTGTTTAGGTTCTATCGTTTCCTTTTAGAGTTCTATTACATGTTTTCAATTAAATAGGTAATAAACAAATAGATTAAAATATCAAAGCCTTGGATCCATCAATCTCTACTTAAATGATATTCCTAATTTGTCCACAGAAAGCCAGAGTGTTCCAGTTCTATGTTTCGTTTTCCTTCAAATTCCTCACAGTGACATACCCCATCTTAGTCTGTTATGTGTTGCTGCACAGATCACTAGAGGGTGGTTGGTTTGTGAAGAAAAGAGGTCTGGTTAGCTTGTAGTTTTGGATGCCTAAATTCCAAGATTGGGCAGTATTATCTGTTTGGCCTCTGGGCAGATCTAGCATCTAATGTGGCATTTGGCATCATAGCAGAACCGGCACAGGAAGTTGGAGAGAAGGGGGGAGGAGGGACGAAAGAACAGAGAATGAGAACAGGGAGGCATAGCAAGAGACAAAACAGGAGACATGGGAAGTCCTGACCTATGATCTGAAGTAGTTGACCTAACCCCCTCACTAGGCTCCACCCCTTAAGGGGCCCACTACCTATCAGTCCTGTTTGTCTCTAGTCCTGGAGACAAAGCTTTTAGCACATGAACATTTGTGAATAAACCACATCTAAGATGCGGCAGACAATACAGAAACAACTTTAAAGATGAACCAGAGCATAACTGCTCAGTTTCCTAAAGCAGTCTACCACAGGACACAACATTTTGTTTTTTTATTTGTTTGTTTTTTTTTTTTTTTCAGGTCAGAGATATTTTAAACCAAAAGCCTGAGCCTAAGTGTCAGTTTCAGTTTGCTTTCCTTTTCTGAACACCTAGAATTGGAAAAAGCAGGCAGTAATTTTATTCTTTCATAAAGTTTGAAATAAGCAAAGTCTTCACGTATTTCTAGGTTAGCAAGCTTTGCTACAAGAATTATTTATTCTATTTTTTAACATTGAGAAGTCCCAGATACCTACAGTTTTAAATCTTTATTATTTAATTCATCTGAAGATTTCTTATTTTTGTTTTCTCTAAAATGCATATCAGGCCCCTCAGGTCTCCTAATATAATGTCTTACTTATATTAATGAAAAACTGGGGACCCTAGGGTGCAGCTATGATTTCAATACCCACTCCTAGGGTATTGATTTCTTGTGTGCTTAAAGGCATGAAAAAAAAAAATGACACACAGAAGCACCCTTGCAATCTTCCCTGTTAACCATGTGACTGCCAATGATCAAACAAAGATGACTATTTTACTTTTTAAGATGCTAATAGAGGTATTCTCTCACTCTTTAGCTTATTTCTGTCTCTTCTTTAATGCCAGAATATAGTTCAGCTTCCATATCTGTGGGCTCTGTGCCCATGGATTCAACCAACCATAGGTCAAAACCAAGGATGAAAAACATGTATTGATATTTTCCTTGTCATTATTCTCTAGGCAATATAGTACAGAGCTGCTTGTATTACATGCACATGGTTTCATATTATAAAGCCTGTGGGAGCGCTGCACAGGTTACATGCATACAATCACCATTTTATGTAAGACAAAAGCTTTGAAAATCCACAGACATGGCTATCACCAGGGAGTTTGAAACCTTCTTCCCGTGGGTCTCAAGGAATGACTGTGCTATATCACAACTCTGAAAAAGAAATAGGGGAAAAAATTGGAAGGCAGTGCTCCCAAATACACACAGGTGATTTGAAGATACCAAAACCAACATGTCCCCCTCGGTTTCTCTATTCTTCTCTGTGGTCTCCCATCTTTCCATTTTGAATATCTGCTAATTCCACTATGGGAAATATACATTTTATTTAAAGAATGGAATCGAATGTTTTTCTCACCTTTGTGTGAATCTGTTGATGGTTGAGCTTCCATTTCAAAACAATACTTTCAAGAAGTACAGATTCAAACAAAGATGACCTCAGGTTTGAAATGTCCTGAGTCTATGGATGTCATGCATTTGATCATAGTGTCTTTACTGGTACCTTAATTTACATTCCTTCAAGGTTAAAAGAGAATGTTTTGTGACTCTGGTGTGGTCTGTGAGCCAGCAGTCCTGTTTAGTCTGAGGTGTGGGTTTCTAGTCAATTTGTCTACATCTCTTGCACAGCATTTGCAGTGGCAGGCCCGGCATAGGATTTGTTTCCGGAAGTGTGATTTGGCCACACTTGTTCTGTGTTCCTAGAACAAGCCTGTCTGTTTGAGCTAATCTTTGCAAATAGTGGAGCACAGATGATCTCTGTCTAGCATCTGAATTCTTGTTGCCTTCTGTATTCTCTTCTGGGATAATAGCAACCCAAATTTCCCTTAGAATAAGAGGAAAATATTTTCATGGCAGGCTTTTCTATTAATTATGTAAATATCCCCTTTGGGAAATGTAGACAAATACTATAATTACCCAGGTGATTCTTTTATTTTCTCTAAATCAAAAGATGTAATTTGTGAGGGAACTAATTGTAACTTATTCTGAGATCCTTGCTTTTGGGGCCTATTCTTGTAAAGAAAGCAATGCTTCACTTGAAAAGCCTTCCAAAGAGAAAAGTAAAAAGCATTCCTAATGAAAATGTGGTGGTTTTATGAAGAAACTTGCTACAGTAAGCAACCAAAAAGCAATCATTAGGGGAAATAAGCAAGTTGAATTTCATTTGGCAGATTGCTTTGCTCAGCATCCTTTCTTTGACTTAACTCTCTTAATTCATCACTAATTCCTGCTAACCCTATACAAGATCCTCCTCGGGTTAGCCCATTTAACTCAATGGTGCTCAACCCTCCTAATACTGCAACCCTTTAGTGAGGTTCCTCATGTTGTGGTGTAATTATTTTCATAAGTAATCCATAAAATTATTTCTGTTGCCACCTCATAACCAATTTTGCTACCATTATGAATTGCAATGTAAATATATGATATGCAGGGTGGTCTTGGGTGACCTCTGTGAAAGGTCTGTTAGATGCTCAGGAGTCAAGACCCACAGGTTGAGAACCACTGATTTAACTGAGGGTAACATGGAGAAAGTGTGTCTTAGTGAGGAAGGCTCTGATATAGGCCCTTCTGAAAGCTGAGCTGTACTTCCTGTGCATGTTCTTTCTGGACACAAATGAACATGACTCCTGAGCTACTATAGGAATAGGCAGCTACTCTATTTGTTAGTTAACCTAGAAAGGGTGTGTCCCTCCCCCCTTATAATTTGTTCAGGTTTCTTTTGGGGTAGAAAAATTAATCTGGTTGTAAATAATAAAATCTGAGAGGATAGTAACATGCTTCATTAATGGTGTTGATACTGAAATTTGTGATAAGTAAGGAATTAATTGCAATTGAATGAGAGTCTGTGAAGTACAGGGAAGCATGAGGCTTTGGACGAATATGACCTACTTATTTAAAGTGTGTTCTCTGGCGGGAACACTTTAGCAATAATAGTATCTAGAAACATTCAGAATTACTGTAATTATGAATAATTATTTTAAAATAATGGCTCAGTTGGCAAAATCACTTGCCTCCAAGGCCAAGCCTGATGACCTAAGTTTGATTCTCAGAATCCACATGGTGGAAGGAGAGAACCAACTGCCAAGAATTATTTCTGACCTCCACATGTGTGCTGGTGCATGTATGCACATACATAGACACCCCCCACCACACACACAAATGAATTTTCACAAAGTAATTCAATCTACTTTGCACCTGTTTTATGATGCTTTTTCCACAGACAGTTCAAAGTGACTATTGATTAGCAATTCTACAATAATTAGTTTCAAGTTTTAAGTTACTTCTGGAATTAAATTATTTTTTATAGAAAAACTTAAATTCCAGGTCAACTTTACCATGCACAATGCAGATTTCTCTGAGTTGAACATCTTAGGAAAGAAACCCTAGAGAGGAGTTTGGGGGTTTTTCTTTCTTCACCATCAGCTAAGCACCCTACTGTCCCTTCCACCAAGGACTGTTACAACTGAAGGCAACTGAAATGCTCTTTTCTTACATTCTTGTGTCCTCTGCTTCTCTTCCTAATTAAAGATTGTGAAATTAAAAGAGGAAAGCATAACTAAATGGAGCAGACTGGCTAAAAGGATGGCTTAATTGTCAATAGCTATTTATTTTGAAATCACAATCATTGATAATAGCAGATTTAGTGTAGCTTACTAATGACTTCCAGTGGTTTTTTGACAGAATGTTTGTGGTACTAAAAATACCAAATGCACAGTATTTCAAGTGTGGAAGAGAAATTTGATTCCACACAGTGATTATGTCTGTAGCGTTGCTCATGAAAGCCCAAATTAGAAGCAACCCAAATGTCCTCCCATAGGAGAGTGGATGAATATCAATGCATTTATATGGCATAATGCTAAAGAATAGGAAAAAGACAAATTATTGGTGTATACACCAATATGCAAGAAGCTCAAAACCATTGTGTTTCGTGAAAGGTGGCAGGAATGAGAGTCCACGCTGTGTGGTTCTATCTATGTGAAATGTATTAACAGGCAAAATTAATAATTGATGATAGAAATTGGCTAAAGGTCACCTTACAGGGATGTATTCATGGAGCAGCACAAAGAGACCTCAGTGATGTTGAGTATTCTTGCGTCTTGATCTTGGTGGTAGTTATGGGAAGAAGTAGGCTGTATGTGAAACATCTTAATTTGTACATTTAAGATTAAGATACTTTGCTCACCTTATAAATGTTAACCTTCACTAAAAATACATTTGGATTCTTATTAAGCAGTGTAGCATTTTAAAGTAAACTCAAATCGCAGGAGCATTTTAAGGTTAAAGCATAACAAAAAGTGACATGCTAATTTAGTTTGTAAGATTTCTGGCTTGCATTTTACTAAATATTTTATTGAACTTCTAGTTTTGATGGCTGGCTTTACAGGGTTGATATTTGTTATGTATTTTTCTTCTTCCTACTAAAATTAGAGAAATGGTGATACTGAAATCTTAGGATAAATATGTCTGATTTTAAGGAACAAGGGGTTGTTTTACAATAACCTTTTATTTCTCAGGTGGTTTGGGAACATTCCATGCCTTTTTAAATACAGCTGTGCATGTGGTCATGTATTCCTACTATGGACTGTGTGCTATGGGACCGGCCTACCAGAAGTATTTATGGTGGAAAAAGCATTTGACATCTTTACAGCTTGTGAGTAACTTGTTTTCTCTAAATGTGAAACAAACCTGAAGTCACATGTTTTCTCTCTCAGTTAGGAGTCTAGATGAAACCAGAACAGTCTGCGAAGAAATAGGGGACTTGTCATCTGTGGGGTATGCTTCACTGTTTGGACTTGGTCAGAAGCTCTGTCAGCTAAAAATAAAGCAGATTTGGTACCTCAGAGTCTCAAATGATTAAGCCAGCATTTTCATCCTTATAATGATCTGATATATATATCTACAAAAATATGTATATAATCAAACTAATGTCAAAGTTATATGACTGTGAATAAGAACAATACTATAGTGTAAGTTAGAATTCCATATTCTGAGTCAACATTGAAGGACTGTAATGTGGAAGGAAGGGTGGGCATTTCTGTGTGCTTACCTATCTAGTCCTAACTGGTCAGTTTGTCTTTCTTCTCATAAGTAAAGAGTTCTGTGAGAATTGCAATTACTGTGAAGTAATGTAAGACATGTGAGTTATATAGACTTGATAGTGACCAAAAGTCAGCAGTGCTTGAAAGAATAAGGCATTGAATTTAGACCAAATAATTCCTCATAAGAATTCATTCTAAAAATATATGGTACACAATTTTATTAATAACTGAGTGAAAATGACCTGTTTTATTGCCCTCTATTAAAAGAATTGTTCCAGCTTCATATTTCCCTGAGTTGAAGTATATTGTAAATCGGTTACCATGTTTTGCCAGTGACACCAAACAGGAAGTAGAATCGAGGCATGGCTAGCTTGCTGGGGACTTTCTATTAAGATCCTACAACTTGCTAAGTGAAATTGGATATAGCCCTCTCAGGGGTTCTCAGGTGAGAGACCAGTGCTTCAGCCTCTGAGGACCCTCAAATGAAGACCAGAGGAGCTCTTTCCAGTTAGCTGTTATATCTGAAATCAGCAACAAGTTCAATGGCCAGCCAAGAGGTGGCAGCAAAATGAATACTTTAACTCATACTTTTGTTTTACTCTTACTTTGGAATACTGTGAAACCCTGACAATTATTCTCTGTGGCTTCTTCCCTTTGAAGCATTTTTCCCATTGTGCAGTTATATGTATGCATATTGTCTGCACAGAGACATGGGAGAAAAGAAGAGGGAGAAAAATGAACTGGGCTGGGATGTAGCTTAGTGGAGGAGAGTTTGCTTAGCTCCTACAAGCTGCTTAGCTACAAACAATATAAATGAAAAATAAATTAATAAGGACAATTTCGTCTCCCCCAGGTAACGGTTATTTTTTTTATTTTCATTCAACGTTCCTCCTTATGAATATGTATGTATTTATATCTTTTACAGATTTCATATTTACTACATGCATGTTCTTATACTAGTTTTTTTTTTTTTTGTTAATCTAACAAATGTGACACATTTTAAATAAAGTGAGCCAGGTATGTTTGTGCTTGCCTGCAGTCTCAGCCCTTGGGAGGTAGAGGAAGGAGGATCAGAAGTTCAAGGTCATGCTCGGGTACATAACAAGACTGAAGCCAGCCTATGCAACATAAGACTTGGTTTCAGAGAACATAAACATTTCAATAAAGTAGAAAGATTTGTACATAAAAAATGAAGGCTTCCCCTTTCCAAGGTTTCATTATTCTTTTTTTTTTTTTTTTTTTTTCCGAAACAGGGTTTCCCTGTGTAGCTTTGGAGCCTATCCTGGCACTCGCTCTGGAGACCAGGCTGGCCTTGAACTCACAGAGATCCACCTGCCTCTGCCTCCCGAGTACTGGGATTAAAGGTGTGTGCCACCAACGCCCGGCTTCATTATTCTTTTGACAAAAGAAGGGAGTCAAGCGCAGCTGCTGGACAGGGAAGCCGTGGAAGTTTGTGAGGATGCTTCACTGAAGGCTGATAACAATAAAGTTATTACAAGAAATAATATAAGAAATCTAATCATGGTTACTTAGCTCATTGGTGCTATTTTATAGAGATTTATTTTTCTAAAACTTCCCCAGAACATGACTGACCTTTACTCAAGTGCGAGAAGGCAGCAGGATGGCTCAGTGGGCAAGGGTATTTTCCACCAATCCTGGTGACCTGAGTTTGATCCCAGAGCCCCACACAATGGAAGGAGAGAACTAACCTCTGGCCTGTAAAGGCATGCCATGGCTCATGTATGTTCCCTCTCTACACAAACATCAAAGACACCCAAGCACATCTGGACATTTGCATAGAAAGTCTCCTTACTATAAATATGCAGATGCCTTCAGCCCACAGAACCTCTGAGCATCCCTGAGGCTTGCCAGGGTCCAAGCTCTCCTCCCTCCCTCCTGGCAGCTGGGACCTTCTTCCTTTCCTTGGAGGTGAAGTCTCACTGTGTTGCCCAGCTGATCTCAAATTCATGAGCTTAAGTGAGTCTGCCACCTCAGCATTCCAGGTAGCTGAGATAACAAGTGTGTCCCACCATGCCTGATTCCTTCCTAGGATTGTTTGGATTTGTGGAGAGGAAGGACACATGACAGCTATAAGGGCTTTGGCTCCATTAAAACTAGAAAGTCTCCAACTTGGATGTTAGTATCTTCTAAAACTTGAAACACTTAGTCTCTGAGAAGACAGAACATTGAAAATCAAAATTGCTCTGAAAAAGTAGGCCACAGTGTAATGGTCCCAGCACACTTCATCAGAACCAAGGACTAGAGTTCTTGAGACTTCCCCCAAGCAAACAAATAACTGCCTTGTTTGATGTCTAAAATGGATGCATGCTGCCACACAGCACATTCCATTTAAGTAGGATCTGCTGGAGTTGTGCAGTGTCAACACTGAATATTGGTTCTGAGCTCCCATCTAGATTTTGGCCCTATACCTAATCTAGTCTCACTCCTAGAGAGGCCATATCTAAAGACATACTGCCCTGCCCAGTAGCACCTAGGAATGGCTAAAGGACTCATAAACCTAAGTGGTTTTTTTGTTTGTTTGTTTTTTGTTTTGTTTTGTTTTGTCTCTAATTTTTTTCCATTCTCCCGTCTCCCAGGTCCAGTTTGTCCTTGTCACCATCCACATAGGCCAGATCTTCTTCATGGAGGACTGCAATTATCAGTACCCAGTTTTCCTGTACATCATTATGAGTTATGGATGCATCTTCCTGCTACTGTTTCTCCATTTTTGGTACCGTGCTTATACCAAGGGTCAGAGGTTGCCCAAAACTATACAAAATGGAAATTGTAAAACAAAGCCTCACTAAAAGACAAAGCGCAGCCTATATTTACAATTGAGACTGATATCTTGCCTTCCTCGACAATCAAGACATACTTACCTATGCAGTGCATTTTGTATATTTTTCAAAACCAAGAGCTTGTATTTTTTATGATAAGTTATTTGGGTTTCTGATCTTTGAGAGTCCAAAGCTCCCAGTAAGTCTTCTCAGTGGAAGAGACTGGAGCAGCCAGGAGGTTTCCCATTGCCTTTCTTACTAATTGAAAGGTCATAATACATTTTGCTACAATGAGAGGAGGATATGAAGTAAGATTGTACTCTTCTAGGAACTCCGGGATAGATGAAAAATACTAGTGATTTTGATCATGGACGGAGATCCACTGAGTATGATAGATTCCTCCTGCCTGATCTGGAGACCTCTGATTGGCTTCTGGCTCTGTCATTCATTCCTTATTCAGAAGACATATTCACTCTAGGGCTCAGTTCCCAATCTAAAGTGCTAACACAGGTGAAGCCTATGTGACTTTTGATAAGTTATCATTCTAAATTGTTAATGGTAAGTTTGGATGGGTCATTTGAGTGATTGCCACCAGTCTTCCTGGTAAGACTCCCTAACAACACATGTATAAGCTGTTGGGGCAGTGGTGCTACGGTTTCTGCACTGAGGCCTTTGACACTAAGGTGAAGGTAATGTCACGTTGCAAACAAGATGATTTGTTTCAACGGGTTAATGACCACTTTGCTAAAGATGATTTTACCATTAACTTTGTGTATCTCTGAAAAGAGAGCCGTGTCAATGAAAAAGATGCTGTGGAATTTATTGGGGAATGTTATAATCTATTGTCGTATAATGCCACTCTCTGATATGTCATGCTAAAAAAACATTGTCCTGCCTAACTATGTACTAGTTAGACATTTAAATGTTCATGTGATTAGCTTACCTCAGATGTCTTTGAATCCCAAATTAATTTTCAAATATCTGCTATGCAAAGTGGCTTATGAAGCAACTGGAGGTAGGTGGTAGAGTATCTGATGTCAGATTTGGTTTCATTAACAAGGGCTGTTAGATTTTGGGAGACAAAAAATTACATTATGGTTATGTATTATGTGTATTTAGTGTTGTGGATACACCATGTGAAGAAATATTTTCCAGAATCATGACTTAGGCAGGATTTCCTTTTCTCCAGATCTGTAAGCCATATTGTGAAGGGCTGAAATTCATGTGACAAATGTTTCCAGCCCCCCCTTTAAAATGGCTGCTTTCTAGAATTTTCTTGTTCTTGTTGGAGAACCAGAACCACCCAGCAATACTTGGACATTTGTGATGTTGTAGCTATTATTTCCTTTTCCTCTTTGAAGGACTATTTATGTGTGAACAGCTTTAAAATCAGTACTGATGGCCTTGGTTATGTTTGCCACACAGTGTTGCTCCAATTTGCACCAAAGCCTGAGTAAACTTTGAAGTTTTGCCTGCTCTCTCCTGATCCATTACTCTGCACCATGCCTTTGTCTCCACATTTACTTAATTTATAGTTATTTGCCATTAAGTGGCCTTTAGTGATTCCACTTGCTTGAGATGAGAAGCAGAGAATAATAGGAATATTTTCAAACTTAAAAACAAACAAACAAAAACAAGTAGCAGACAAGTCGAGCTGACAGGAGCAGCCACACTAGTCTGTCACTGTGAAGGTCTCAGGGATCTGTGTTTTCCTATTTTGACTCTGTGTGTCCATGGGACAGTATGGTAGATGTAATTACCTACACAAGCAATTCCCAAAGACTCAAGTAGGGCAAAGACCCAAAGGAACCAAAAATAGAAAATAAAACAGGAGACTTTGATTGATTTCCTCCCTAACACTACCCACCCTCTCCTCCCGCTCCTCCAAGTATTCACAATGTCTCACAAGCAGGTAGACTAAGAGCAACATTGTGACACACCACATTCTCAACTATACAAATGAAAGCAGGGAGGGGGGGTGTTATATGGAAATAGATCTCTTGACAGGAAGACAGATGTAAACATCAGTAGATCAAAACTGCTTGTAGAAATTGTGTGGGCAGTGTTTGATCAGAGCTTCTAATGGGATTTCACCTACTTTTCAGGACTTTGTTGCCTTTCAACTTGCTTGCCTAATAAGCAAAAAGCCCAGCTATTAAGTATAGTTTATTATAAAAGTTCTATGAGTCCTTGAGGACCAACATATATGCTATAAATATAAATTTTTAAATATCTATGGGGTGTTACGATTTTTCTGTCTTCATACTTAAGGAGAACCCTAAATTGAGTATACTACATTGTTTAATAGTTTGGGAAATTATGAGATTATTTCTCTTGGTTACCTCTTATTTCTGTTAACTTCTTAATGACTGTGGAAGTGAGAATTTGAGTTTGTTCTCTGTGCTATAATAAATTTGTGGCATCACATGTATGTGTGTGTGTTTATTTCATTTTGGAATATAGCTGCTTTTATTTGCATGTGTAGGAGAGTCTAAATCTTAGTAGTCACCGATTCAAAGCACTTGGCACATTGATTATATGCTTGCTATATTCAGAATACTGTGCTTGACATGAGTGTTCAAAATTTTCTTTGGGACCACCTGTATCTCCCTTGCAGATGAATGTTCAGAGAGATGCACAAGACAGGTGCTACAGGAGGAAAGGCCTGCCAATCACAATTACAAAAATTATTGTGAAGGCATTTTAAGGCAAGTTTGTATAATATAAAATGTATACAATTCAAAATGGATAGTAGGTTAGTAGACCAGATGTCTGCAAATAACAAGGGGCTGGAGAGAATGCTCAGTGGTTAAGAGCACTTACTGTTTTTGCTGATGACCTGGGTTTGGCTCACACATGGCAGCTTGCAATTGTCTATAACTCTACTTCCAAAGGATCCAATATTCTCTTCTGGCCTCCACAGACACCAGACAAGCCCATTATACTCATGCACACATGCAAACAAACACTTATACACATAAGAATAAATAAAATGAGAAACTTAAAAAGAATTGTGTCATGCCTAACTGAAATAACAGCTTCTATGTAATGTTCATCTGCATCCATTGAAACAACTGATGGGAGGCTGATGTGGAAACTGGGAATGGTGACTGAGGCCGGGGCAGTCTGAACCCACACATAATCTCAATGCCAATAAAAGTGAAATGCTGAAGTATTAATGTGTCTTTTAGCATGCTATTGTACTATAAAATCTTCCTGCCCCAGTTTGTGTTTTGTATTTGAACCTAAATGTCTGTTTCTAAATCAGCTATAATAATAATAATTCCTACGGATAGAGAAAGATGTTAAAAGGTACTAGACTGATTCAGTCAAAGAAAGTTAAGACAAAAAAAAAAAAAGAGGGACTAGGGATGGCAGTGGCAGAGACCTGCATAGCCTGCCCTGGCCTCTATCCCCATAAAGAAACTAAAATAAATACATGGGAGTTCTAGTTAATTAAGAAAGACCTAAATTTTAACAATCCAATATTTGATATAGATCCGAACAAACCCATTATAAAGGGATCTTTAAATAGTTGTTTAATTAAACAAGGTATAGATATTAGATTATATAAGAAATTAATACTGGGTATAATCGCTGTTCTGCAGTCAGACTTTGGAAAAGTTCTTATTGTGAAAATACATGTATACACTGATGCATGCGTGTGTTGTGCATAGTTGACAGTTGTCTGATTTTACTTTAAAATATTCTTAGAATAAGAAACTCAATTGTTAGCTATTTCTCTAGGTCTGTGGCTTTCAACCTTTCCAATGCTGTGACCCATTTAATACAGTTCCTCACGTTGTGATGATCCCCAACCATAAAATTAGTTTCCTTGCTATTTCATAACTGTAATTTTGATACTGCTATGAATCACAATGTAAATATCTGATATTTGAAAGGGGTTGTGACCCACAGGTTGAGAACCACTAATCTATGTGGACATTTGTTAAACAGGAAAAGAGCCAAGTGTAATGAATGGAGGCCTTAAAGTCAATAGATTTACATGTGTCTGTGTGTTGCTAATCACAAAAATCTTGGACTGACAAGAAGGCTCAGTAGGTAAAAGTGCTTGGTGTCTAGCCTGATGACCTAAGCCCCAGGGCCCCACATGATGGAAGGAGAGACTTGACTCCTGAAAGTCATCCTCTGACCTCCACACACACTCTATAGTACATGTGCGCAACCCTCTCAAATAAGTGTACTTTTTAAAGTTTTAAGATCCTCTGTCACTATTTCCTATTACATTTAAAACACATTATTCAAAATGTAAAAACAGAAGTGATAAATATTATATCTGGGTAATGATTTTATTAGTGCACTTCTCTCTGCTGTTGTACATACTTGAAAGCTTCCAAATTTAAAAGCATGTATATATTTTATTATTGCAATTTTGATTCCAGGTAGACACCAAAGTGACAGAATTGATGTGATTATTCACCCTTGACCAGCCAGTGACAGTACCTAAGAATACATGTATGACACAGAGTTTCACATAGCCCAGGTTTGCATTGAAATCAGTATGTAACAAGGATCTTAACACATCTAATCCTCCTGCCTCTGTCTCTCAAGCACTGGGATTAAAAGCGTGTAGCACCACACTATTTTATGTGTGCATGTTAAGGAAAAAAATTTTATCAACTGAGGCACATCTGGAGTCTCTAATAAACTTTCAACCATTCTTATGTGGATCCTGATCTTAACTGGTTTATAGGGTGCACAGCAAAATATGCCTACATAGAAATTAAATGAAAACTAAGGCTGGCTACATGTTGCCGAGTAAAAATTTTGTTGCAAATATATGAGTCCTTTTCCTAAGGGGACAGTTTTGCTACAACAATAGCTGCCAGCATTTGGGAGACAAGGGAGAAGGATCATAAGTTCCAGGAGTACTTGGCAACACTGTATCCAAAGAGAGGACAGGAGAGGGGGGAGAAGAAAAGGGAAGAGATTAGGAGGGTTTCTTGAGAACCCCTGAAGGTTCTGACCAGAGAAATGACATGATCAGTGTGGTTATGAGAGGCCCTGGATAAAACCCTTCACAGGAAGTCTCAGGCTTCCTGCTACCATTTAACTACTTCCTTCTCTCAGGAAACAGTTGGGAGTAGCAGGAAGTGGTTATCACGTGCTGTTCTGCAGCATGGTGCCATACAGCTAAGTGCTCTGAAGAGGACGGGCACAGAGAAAGAATGCCCTCATCCATATCAGCGCTGGAGTCCAGACTAAACATACTATGAGTCTATTCTCCACCAACAGAATTTTCCAGGAGTCCTGCATAGCAGCTTCCACTACCTCTCCATGGTCAAGAGTACCCCGTGACTGTCCTTGGTTACCAGGGAAACTGGGGAATGTGATTTCTAGGTGGGTATGACATCATTGCTAACAAGATTAGATTCTGTTAGTAAGAGGTAATGAATAAGGTTTGTACAGGCAGATGATGTAACCTTGCACACAGAATCACCATCGTGAGAAACCATGGAGTTACATAACTGAACAAATTAACTTGTTGGCCAAACCTGATTTGGATACCCAAAGGCTAATTTCTCTTTGCTCATCCATGTTGGGTGAATATACACGTATTTCAAGGCAGAAATCTGAATGCCTTTCATTACTCTCTGTACCTAAACAAGACTCTACTGTGGTTTTATTTTTTTACATCGAACTCAGATTTATAAGCAAGGAGAGAAATTAGGGGGTTTTCAGTTGTTGTGGCATTGTGACATGTATAGCACACAGCTCTCTGAAGCAACACCTAGGAAATCTTGGTTTTTTTTTTTCTCCAAATATTAAAAAAGAAATTGGGAAGCTTTTGAATGAAAATATAGACATTTTAATAAGTAGAAAATGATTAATGGTGGCTGATTTCATTGTGTTGCTGGGAATAACACAACTTGCAATATTGAACACAAAATAGTATATTTGCCCACAGTGTTGAGGGAGGTTCACAACCAGACTGACCACCACCATCTACTGTGATGTTACCAACATTAACTAGATGATATATTTAAGCATATTCCCATCAGAAACAACCTGCATCTTTTTATGAAGAAACACTTATTTTATATTTTGTCAGAAAACATCATTTCAAAATAAAAAAGGAAATACAATCTCATTTTTATAGTTAAAATATTTTCTGAATTTATGTCTAAGCATTTTGCTTCTTCAACTATACATTTCTTTTTAATTTTTTATTATTTAAAAGAATTTTTGCTACAGAGTGAGTTTCAGGTCAGTCAGAGCAATTTAAATATATTTTGATCATATTCTTGCCCTCACCCAAGTTCATCCAGATCCTTCCTTCCTTCATAGCCACCCAACTTTAATTTGTTTCTCAAAAAACAAACAAACAAACCAATAGAACAAAATGCCCAAAACCTAGAAAATACAATACCTCCCCCAAATTCCAACAAACTGTAACTAAATAAAAGTGTGCACTTGTGCGCACACACACACACACACACACACACACACACACACACACACACACAGCAACTGTGGAGTCCATTATTTGTTGGTTAATTACTTCTGAACATGAGATCTTCCCTAAAGTGGTTGATATAGCCAGTGTCATTCCATTTGGGGAAAAATGGTTTTCCCTCACTAAGTAGGTATAGATGACAATTCCATTGTTAACCTTTACCCTAGTCCCTAGGTTTATATTCATTCAGTCATTCATTTTTTAATATAACAAAAAATATAATTATATAAAACAAAAAACTATTTCAACAAAGTTTGATAAGACAACCAACAGAAGGAAAAGAGCCCAAGATGAAGCACAAGAATCAGAGACATACTCACACACTCAGGAATCATATAAAATCACTGGAGGCCACAATATACATGCAGAGAACCTAGTGCAGACCTGTGTGGGCCCTGTGCATGCAGCTTCAGCCTCTGTGAGTTCATGTGAGTTTTGCTCATGTTGATTTAGAAGGTCTTATTTTCTTGGTGTTCTCCATTCCCTCCATCTCTTTTCATTATTTTTGCCTCCTCTTCTGTTTGGTTCCCCAAGCTCCAAAAGGAGGGATTTGATGGAGACATCCCATTTAAGGACTGGGTGTTCCAAGGTCTCTCACTCCTATGCATGTTTGAAGAAACAGCCTACATCCTTTTTACTCTTCCCCTGGGCATCTCATCTCTGTTTGGGCAGATGAAGAGTAGCATCTGAAGATGCCGAGAGATAGCTGAGGTTTTAGGATAGAGTAGATCTTTGTCTGCTCTCCAGTAGTGTCTTTGGAAAGGTAGCATTACCCTAAGTATGGGGCATTTAGCCAGGCAGAGATAAAAGAGCCTGGTAGATTAGCCAGCTAGTAAAGTCATGACAGAATCTCTGAGGCAATTAACTTGCAAAGAAGAAAAGTTTATTTTGGCTCATGGCTGTCGATGTTCCTGTCCAAGATAAGGTGTTCTCTGTTTTGGCACTCTGGCAAG